GCCCTAAACTGAATGCATTGTAACAAACCAGCATGTCGATGGAGGAGAGTAGGCGTCTGTCAGAAAATTACTTCCACAATTATCAGGTGAGTCAGTCTGTCAAAGGGAAGCAGCTACACTAACTTCCCACCCTGCTGTTGGGAAACAGGAAGTTGTTTATGGAATGTTGAAACTGCACCTCCGTCGGCCATTCTAGAGGGAATGTAGGTTTACTGAGCCTTTGAGTAAAGAACACTCAGAATTACATGTAAACTCATTTACTTGAGTTTAGTCAGATGTAGAAACAGAAAACATAAAGGACGCATCCAGATACTGGTTTTATGAAGGTACAAGAAGTGGCATGGCCATTGGATCATTCTCAGCAGCACGGAAGAGAAAAATCATTACGCAACTCCTCTTAACCCCTTTGCCACCTAACTTCATTACACACCCATACACCCACACACACACACACCCACACCCACACCCACACCCACACCCACACCCACACACACACACACACCTTTTGTTGAGTTTGAAAATTTGAGTAGAATAATGAGAGACTTCTTTGTTATATAAGAGTGCTGGGCTGGCATGCAGTTTTGCACAGGTTCACATCCCGATTCAATTCAATTCAAGTTTATTTATATAGCGCCAAATCACGACAAGAGTCGTCTCAAGGCACTTCACATAATAAACATCCCAATACAGGTCAATTCATTAAGCCAATCAGAAAAAAGTTTCCTATATAAGGAACCCAGCAAATTGCATCGAGTCACTGGTGTCAGTGACTTTACAGCAATCCTCATACTAAGCAAGCATGCGGCGACAGTGGAGAGGAAAACTCCCTTTTAACAGGAAAAAACCTCTAGAGGATCCTGGCTCAGTATAAGCAGCCATCCTCCACGACTCACTGGGGATCGAGAAGACAGACAGACAGACAGACAGACAGACAGACAGACACACAGACACACACACACACACACACACACACACACACACAGACACACACACACACACACACACACACACACACACACACACACACACACACACACACACACACACACACACACACACACACACACACACACACACACACACACACACACACACACACACACACACACACACACACACACCAAGTAGTGTTTCTATGGTTACATTGTGATTTCTTAGTAAATATTCTATTTGGTGAGAGATAAATTTTATTGTATTTATCCTAGTGAATCTATAATTACACGATCTGTGGAGAAACTTTCTTTTTTAGCTGCGCTTGTCAGTATGATGTTTTCAATCCTTTTCTTGGTAAACTCTTTAAAATACAAGGACTAATATGTTGTTTTTTGCCTTCTTTGTTTATTTAGCCAGTGTGAGTCCATGTGAGGTGAGCTGAGTAAATAAACTAAAACGCTGCTTGGAAATGACCAAATATAAAAACATGAGATCTGCTTCAGCTGGCTAAAAAAATTACTGCCGACGCCACCGGGATTCGTACCCACATCAGCACATGGCAAAACTGAAATGGCAGAAAGATGCCTTAAGCGCTGGACTACCAAGACTGCCACCTACGACTGACTGGAAATTGTTTGTTGTTGTTGTTTTTAGCCTAAAGGGCAACATGTCGATTATCACTGTTAAGTCGCTTTGGACAAAAGCGTCTGCTAAATATATAAACATAAACATAAGACACTGTTGTAGAGCTGGTAATATTAGGGATGTCCCGATCAGCATTGTAGGCTTCTGATTCGATCTCTTAACTTCAAATCTGATCCGATTTTGAGTCCCGATCCAATACTTTGCCTTTACTATTGAAATGTATAAAGCTGAAATATATTTTTAGCAAGTAACCCCAGTTAACTTTCTAAGACTAATTTCATTAATAAGCATTACCATTATTGTTGTAAATCCCATGTAATCAACTTCCTGTTTTGAAACCGAATGTAGTGTTATATTTCCGGTAGCTTTATTTAGTGGTGAATAGCTTCTGTGAAGATGGACTCCAAGTAGGAAAAAGGTCAGATCGCGTTTGGTTACAAAGAGCACGAGGTGGGCTGCAGCCATCAACAGCAGCTCTCGCTTTGTTACTCTTTTAAATCTTTGCTTTTTCTTCTGTGCATGTTTTAATGCCCTTAAGGTGGGTGCAGCTAACGCTAGCTCTCTGCAGAACACTTCTCCACGAGAAACGTTGGTTCTGCCTCCAGAATAACGGAGAAACGAAGATACAGCAAAGCGGGATGTAAGCTCCAGGAAAGGAAACAGTGTTAATTTTTTTTTACTGATTATGGAACTTTCTGGGAGGGCTCTGGGAAACTCCTGAAGCTCCACGCATTAATCAATTGTCTACTGCAGGGATCTGCTGTGGGTGCTGCTTACGCTGGCTCTCTACACGGAAACCCAGTTCTACCTCCTGAATTAAGCTCTGGAGAGGGAACGGCGATATAAACCATACCCTTTGTGATTACGGGAAATGTCCCCAATAAAATGGACAAGCTCTCAGCACTGACCCGGCTGCTGAGGGACTACTGACAGCCTGTTTTTTTAAGGAGACGTGGATGAACAAGCATATAGGAGACTCTGAGGTTTGCCTGAAGGATTTAAACTCACGAGAGCCGACAGAAGAGCGGAGCAATTCGGTAAGTGTCCCAGACATCTGGATAAATATAAAGCGTTGCTTGAGTCGTCATCCATTTGGTTGACTTCTTTTGGAAAACCCGACCATTAACAGGGCGAGACTATCCCACAGAAAAAGGAGCCCTCTATAGGAGTTTTTCCCCAGGAAGTAGTAGGGCTTGACGATATAGAAAAAAAAAAGTATATCGATAAAAAAAAATTTTATATTGCTAATTCTTGAAAAATATTTTTTTAATAGTTGAAAATATATTTTACATGTGGCTATTTTATGTTTGGTATTTTATTTTTTCTCCGCCTCTTCCCACCGAGACATCTTGCTGCCTCATGCTCTGTTTTGACTTGAGAGGGGAGGGCCTGGTGACTTAGCGTGCCCGAGTCTGTTGTTTTGAATGGTTAGGAGTAAGTAGTGAGTCTAGTACGCTGCTACCTAATAGGTTATAATGAAAAAAGGAAACTTTTTTATCAAAGTTTTATTGACCCATTTTTTTTTCCTATCGCACCACATGTCTATTGATAGATATATTGAACTATTGAATTATCGTCCAGCCCTATAACGTAGCATATGCTAACGTGCTCTCAGTCTATTTCGGGAGATCAGCAAGACTCGTCAGTTATAACTGGCGATCTCCAATCACTGAAAAATATGAAAAAATTGTCCCGATCTGAGGATCAGGACATCCCTAGTTAATATAGGCAGATTACAGCACGAGCGGACGGTTGAAAAGACGACGTGTCTATTTCAGGAGGGTAAAATACCATAGATTTTTTTTTTCATTTTTAGTACTTTAAATATTTCTGAGATAAAAAAAAATAAAGGAAATAAAAGAAACGACTGGTTTTGATTGAATTGCTTTGGTATGGTAGTGATTCAAAAGTTAAAAGGTTCTTTTGGCTGATTTAACAAACGAGACCGAGCACAACTGCTTCCTGTGCCGACGTCTCTTTCTGTAGGAAAACGTTAAATGTGACTCACCCAACTCGATTCAAGTTGTAAGAAAAGAACAATGGCAGAAAGGTGACAAACTTTCTGGATTTAAACAACATTTTCAGCTATTTTACTTCAAAATCAGCAGTTTTGCACAAGTGCTAAGGGTTCAAATGAATCTTATCATCAGAAGAAAGCCACACACCAGTGTGTGTGTGTGTGTGTGTGTGTGTGTGTGTGTGTGTGTGTGTGTGTGTGTGTGTGTGTGTGTGTGTGAATCTCGTCTTTCCTCTGGGACAAACCTCTGTCCACAGACACACACCTCATGCAGGTATTTCCAGTCTAACAACACATGCTGTTTGGTGTTTAAAAAGGCCAATAGCACTTCAGTTCCCTTCCCTTTTGTGAAACTATTTATAACAGAAATTGGGAAAATGCTGCATCAAACCAGATGAACAGTGGTGATGGCAAACTTATAATATAAAAGTCTTCAAATCTAGAGAAGAAATTAAATCAAATGTTATTTTAACTAAGAAGCTGCAAATAAAATCTTTAAAGGTAAACATTTGTTTAATGCAAATGTCATTTCCATACAATGATGTCCTAATTTAACATGAAACAAGACTTATGCCAAAAGCTGCTTCTGAAATATATTTTCACTACTGTTGCACATTTAAGGCAACAAAGATGTCTTCATTAGGGGTTAAGATACTTTCGTGGTCTTACTAGATTTTGATTAATAATCATCATCATAAATTTAGAGTTTAAATAATTAGCTTATAACAACATTGAATAACAGAACAGGCTAATTTAAATGTTTTGGAGAATGAGGTTCCATTAGAGCTGAACAACTTTTAATTACTGGCTTAAATGGTATAATCATTAGGAATAAAACAATTAGTTTTCAATAAAATAAAATAAAGTTTTGAAGAAAAAACGTGAAAGTGAAACTTTACTGTTTCACTAACCCATGAATAATAGACCTGGTATGAATGTTGTATTGACTCATTTGCTGTGGTTTTCGTATCAGACAGAATGATTCAGTCAACGTCCAGGAATTCAGTCAAACAAGATAGAGTTTGTTTCCCAAACTTATTTCTAAGGTGGGGGGGCAAACTGTCCTGGTGTTGGAAGCTCCAGTAAAGCAGTAAGGTCTGGTCTTCTCGTTGGGCGGGTGGAGGCTGCTCTGACCTCTGACGACCAGCATCCTGCTAGATGATGCTTTCCCATAAACTGCCTTCCGGGATCGTCTGAGTTTAAAGGAATGTTTTCTCTTACACCCACCAGAGTCCCTCCTCGCAGCAGGTGTCATCCTCTCTATCTGGACCTGCTGTCAGGCGCGCGGAGGATGGCCAAAGCCACCCGGCATCAAATGACACTTGTTCACAGGTGAAGCGACGTCTAGCCAGCGTCGCGAACTAACGGCTGGAAGGGAAAAATAGGAGAGAAAAGGCGAACTCACCTTTAAATAGGTAGTCATACTCGTCTTCCCTGTTCGACATGGTCGCTCCTCGTCGGTGGCGCTACGCTTGTACTGGAAAACCGAACAAACTTCTGTCGTATTTAACAACTTCGAAAAAACAACCGCAAACGAATTTTAGCTTCACGCGGAAAATGGTCAGCTCCCCCTCGAACGACAGCGTCGTAAAAAATCACCGTAAAAGTAAAACTGAGGCGGTAGCGGGAACGTTTTTCTTATCGTTATTATCCGCAATAACGAGCAGAATCCAGGAAACTTCAGCACCGTCTTCCTTGTCCTCTGTCACTTGCCATTGCCGAGGCAGTAGCATGACGTCAGTTTTACCGGCGCACTCCCATTGGTCAGGCGCCGTTTGAAGCTATACACTTGCGATGATTTGATTGGTCTGCTGTGCTGTCATTCATAATGTAGCTACGAGCTTCGGTGACGTTGAGCAGCAACAGGTAAAATCAGGCCTCAGGTGAGTGGAGCCCAACTGGCGAACAACGGGATCACATCTAAAATCTCAAGTCACGTGATTTAGTAGGTGAAAACTCACGCTGCTTTTCAGGATGACAGGAAAAAACATACCTTGACCCCAAATAAATGAAAATAAATCAAAATTGTCTGTAGTTTTTGGGAGAATATTAGAGAGCTCGTTTTAATGTGAATATATCTGCTCCTTCTGTGGAGTAAATTGACATTTGTTCATTAAAAAATATTTATGGGAAGTTTTACTCTACTGATTGACTCCTAATGCATCAAATTTAACCCAGTTCACCAAATAAACATTTTAACTGGTTGCTTTTTTTAAAATAAGGTTTGTTGCTATCAGTCATCCATTCATCTTTTCTCATTCCTTACTAAGGTCTCAGGGAGCTGGCGTCTAAGTGAGACAATAATAACCTAGACAGGTCTCCAGTCCATCAAAGGGACACGTGTAGACAAGTAACCAGTCATACATTCACTCAAACCTGAATCTTAACCTGACATGCATGCTCTTGGTCTGTGGGAGGAAACCGGAGAACCCAGAGAAAACTCTCATGCATGGAGGGAACATGCAGAAGGGCTGCAGCTGGGATTTTATCCTGCAACTTTCTTATTACAAGGCAGCACTACCAGCTGCTCCACAGTGAGTCTGATATTTTTTTACATTTTCTGTAAACTTTTATTTCATATGCAAAAATGTGGTTCAGGTATCCTGGTTGCCTCCTTTGGAAGTTTACCTGGAATTGAGTGAGACTTTGGAGCAGGGCTGGGGATTATGCATCATCTGTAATGTGGGAGCAACTTGGGATCCCCCAGGAGGAGCTGGAGTGTGTTGCCAGGTAGAAGGATGTTAGGATTTCCCTCGTGGACTGTTATGTCTGAAACCTGACCTCGGAGAGCTGTAGGAAAATGGAAGATGGGAAAAATGTATTTCACTTTCCATTAGTCTCAAACGTAGAGAACATTTTTCAACGTGTAAACTTAATAATCTATTTTTTTTCTTTCTTTTATCTGTAAAAATTCATGTTTTCACTATTTTTGTTATAGACAGTTTAGCATTTTCTCATCCAATATATTTTGTAGTAAAAACACAATAAAACCTCACTCAGGGTGTTATAGCATGGGGACAGTTGTAGGAATAAAGGTCCATCAGCAACAATAAAACATCTTCAACATAAAATATGAATAAAGGAATGTTTATAGGTGTTGAAAAGGCAAACCAACAAGACATAAGTGGTTTCTATTGATCCTAGCAGCACAGAAAACACGTTCTTTTACCATTTACATATTTTTACTCTATAGTGCCAAAACAGGCTTTAATGCATCTAAGATTACTTAAAAATAACCTCCTAACACACAAAAAAACATGTTATTTTTATGTGTTTTTTTAAGTTCTGATATATGACAGCTTCCTGTTGTAAAATGTTATATTGTAGAACATCCTTGTTCATTCCTAATGCAAGAAATTATGAACATATAATCTCTGATAATCCCTAAAGTTTGGAGAGAAATGACATTTCCTCTGACTAGACAGCGTCAATCCAAGCGCTTTCATTAGATATTCATTATTTTCTATTTACACCACAACGTGTCCTTTGCTGATTGTATTCATTTGAGGTAATTTGGGTTTTGAGGTAATAATATAAATTTTTACAGATGATGTGGTCCTGTTGGCTTCATCAGAACGTGATCTCCAGCTTTCGCTGCAACGGTTCACAGCTGGGATGAGAATCCGCTCGTCTAAATCTGAGACCATGGTCTTAAGTCAGAAAAGGATAGAATGCCTTCTCCAGGTCAGGGATGAGGTCCTGCCTCAAATGGAGGAGTTTAAGTATCTCAGGGTCTTGTTCATGAGTGAGGGAAAGATGGACCGCAAGATCGATGGGTGGAATGGTGCTGCATCTGTCAGGGTGAAGAGCGAGCTGAGCCAGGAGGCAAAGCTCTGGATTTACCGGTCGATCTACGTTCCTACCCTCACCTATGGTCGCGAGCTTTGGGTAGTGACCAAAAGAATGAGATTGCAAATAAAAGCGATCAAAATTAGTTTTCTCCGCAGGGTGGCTGGGCTCTCCCTTAGAGATAGGGTGAGAAGTTCAGAGGGGCTCGGAGTAGACCCGCCGCTCCTCCACATTGAGAGGGAGCCTGTTGAGGTGGCTCGGGCATCTGGTTAGAATGCCTCCTGAACGCCTCCCTGGTTAGGCTTTTCAAGCACATCCAACTGCAAGAAAACCTAAAGGGAGACCCAGGACACGCTAGAGGGACTATGTCTCTCGGCTGGCCAGGGAATGCGTTGGGGTTCCCCCGGAGGAGCTGGCCCAAGTGGCTGCTGCCCCCACGACCCAACCCCGGATGAGCGGAAGAGAAAGGATGGATGAAATATAAAGTAACATTCATGATGATAATCTAATAATGATGGGAGGTGGTGATGGATGCTTCTGGATAATCTGAAGTCCAACAGAACCAACCCATCTGACCATGTTCCCTCTGCGGTTCTCCACCATCCCAGACAGAGCCTCCAGGTCAATGTCAGGCTTTTCCCGCTCAGTAAAGTTTCACGAATCAGCCTGATGAACATTTCTGTGTGGTTCTGCAGCTGCTGACAGGTCTGGTCTGGTGCAACCTGAACAATCAAAGATCACAGCTTCTCTAAACAATATTACGCCTGGTTGTTTACTTTATCATAAATCTTAAATGGCCTCTAACTGTTACTAAAACTCAAGGAGCTGATTTTAATAAGTCTGTAACATCAAAAACGTTCAGTGGGAACAAAAATGTAATCCCAGTTTCAGGAACTTTTAGGCTGATATCCAGTGTCTGGCATAAGATGCCTCGGTTCTCCAGACCCCGTCTGAGCCATAAACTGGCAGAATATTTAAAATCTGAAATTAAATAGGAAACAAAGATTTTGGTTGCTTGTGTACAAAAACATTAGTTTTCAGTGGAAAATGAGGTGATCGTAAAACCAGATCCAGATCTTTATCTGGAGCTTTTTCATCATTGTTGCGCCATGAGAGCTTTTATTGTGAAGTTTGTATTAGAAAATGTAGCCAGACCTATTTAAACACCAAAGAGCACAGTTATGATTCCTAGATGTTTACAAGCATCTATTGTATTTTATTTTCATGCATATTAACAAGATAATTTTGTTTATATAAATATGCATTTTCTTGTTTTACCAAAAACAGAAATGTATTCATTCATCCAGAAAGACAAAAATGGGTTTTTCTATACAAAAAAAAAAAAAAAAAGAAAAGAAAAAAAGCCAAATAAAATTGTAATTTTTGTTCCTATTATGTAAAACATCCAAGGGTCACCTGTAGGGGAACAGATCTGTGGTTACTAGACAACATTAACAGTTCTTTTGTTTCCATAACTTATTTATTGAGAAACAAAACCAGAAATACGATAAAGGAGTAAAATCATCAAATCGTCTCAGACGCTAAAATTTACACAATATAAACAAACAGCTGATTTTAAAAAGAAAAGAATCACTTGTGAAATATTTGCAATCTGAAAAATGACAGGATGGATTTATGTGTCACAGACTTTTCTAAAAGATTTATAAATAATTTAATTTTAGGTTGATTTATTTATTTGAGTTTTGCCCGTCATTCAAGAGGGAGCAGTTGTTGTTTAAAACCTGAAGTTGGTTTTAGCCACATCAGCTGAAACGTTCAAGCACACACATCTTCTGGTGATTCCAACCAGGGTCGCTTCTCCATGTCGAGCCACCCTGTCGCCCCGTCTCTAGTCAGATCCCAGATCAGCGCTGAGGGTGGGCCCTTGAGGGACGGAGCGATCAGATGTTCCTGCAGCAGGGTTTCTGCTCCTCTGTGTTTTCTCCTCTGCGATTGTTCAGGGTCACGGCGTTGAGGGAGCCACGGACCACTTCTTTACTGCTCACCTTCCTGTGAATCTCTGCGGCATGAAATGAGCACATTTAAAGAATATTCTTCGCAGGATTAAAAACAGTGTTTGTCTAATCCCCAAAACAGGGATTGCATTTAGACACATATTACAAAAGGAGGCCTTAGAAACCAGCCGTGTGTGCTCTGTTGTACCTATAAGCAGAGCAAAATGAAGGTTTACCTGCTAAGACGCTGCTGAACGCTGCTTCCACATTAGTAGACTGCAGAGCGGAGGTCTCCAGAAACAACAAGTTTTGCTTTTCTAAAAGAGAAACAAATTGACAACATTTAGTGCCACGAGATGTGAAATCTTATAAATGTTGTTTTCGTATCACACATGCACATCCAAGTCTGGAGTTTTGGAAAGCGAAATAATCTAATTGGTCTTCGATTAATAGATAAGAATTCTGAGTGACCGCAGCAGAAACCAAACCTTTACCTGCAAAGTCTTTGGCCTCCTCCGTGGGCACCGATCTCTCCGACTCCAGGTCAGTTTTGTTTCCCACCAGCATTACAACTATGTGGGGGTCAGCGTGGTCGAACAGCTCCTTCAGCCAGCGCTCCACACTCTCATAGGTGAGATGTTTGGTGATGTCATAGACCACCAGGGCTCCAACGGCACCTCTGTAATACCTGAAAAAAGAACACCATATTTAGAGCTTCTCCATCAGCACATGATTTATGTGGAACACCCTGTTTCTGTACAGTGGAACAGCCGGTTACCACGGATGTATCAAACATAAAGGTCTTGGGTTTGAGTCACAGCTGGAGCTTGTGTTCCTTGGGTTGCTTGTCTCTGGGTACTCCCTTTACTCCACAATAATAATAAACATTCACGACAGGTTAACTGGCTGCTCTGGATTGACCTTCAGCTTGGATCTCAAGCAGCGGCTGCATGGTGAGACGGTACAAACGGCATTGTGGAGCGTTCCCAACTTCCTTGTATGGATTACATGGCCTCATTGTCACATTGAACTATTTAAAACAATATGAAATTAAAAATTTCTCTCAAACCGATCATCACTAAAATCCTTTTCCTTTAAGTTTTTACAAATCAGAAAATAAATCTTCGGAGGGGCTGGTGGCCTATGAAAACAACTTGTGCTTGATTGAACACCAAAAAGAGATTTTAGGACATCGCAGGAAGATATAAATCTCCACTTTGGCCAATGGAACACCTGAGATCCTTCCATGTTGCTGTAGAAAGGGTTTGGGCCTTACTGCTGAGATGATACCTTTGCAACCCTGAACCAGATCAGCAGCCAAAAAACTGAATGAAAGAATGTTTATTCTGATCTTCTGATGTTTTGACGTTGCCTCTTTTTCACCCTTAAGTTTAATTACATTCTATTTAGTTTCTGGTTTGGGATGCAAATCAAGCCTGAAGCTTGTTTTTTTTTTTTTTCAATACATTTGCAGTGGTCTCTATATGGAGACCTTGTGATCTCTGAGGGAAAAAGCTGTGGTTGTCTTGTTTCAGGATGTAGAAGTTAGCTGGTGCAGACGGCAGCAGAAGATGGCAGGATTTGAAGTCTTATTTACTGATATTCGGATATCTTGTCTTGCATTGGCTAACAGCAACATGACATTACCACTGCCTCAATTTGCTTTCCAACACTGATGTTTCCACAAATAAGAGTCTGAAGGAGTTCAGCGGTGTGGTGGAGCCGCTAATGCAAACGGTTAGCTTCTACTAGCCGAGATGAGGTCTGTTCTCTCCTGGAAGATAAATCAACAACAGCCTTTCCCGTCTCAAGCCAAGATGGGTGAGTCCATCAGTGCTTTTCAGTGTGATGTAGATCTAATCTGAGCGTTCCCCGTCAGGAAATAGAGGTAGAAGACTATTTTGCCATTTAGCCTGCATAAAAATTAGCAAGACATAAAATACACTAACCAAATCCAAGACAGATTAACAACATTGTCCCTAAAAATAAGTCTTTTAGAAGAAATTAGCTGCAGGTTTGTGGTCTTTTGAAGCTCATTCCCAGCATTAAGATCATAAAAAATAATTGTGATCCAATTTTGTTTGGATCTTAGAAGCGTTTAGGACTACTGCAGCTGTAAACCTGGCATCAGAACTGCTCGTACAAAGCGTTAAAGCGCAATAAGAGGAGGTAAGACATCGACACTGAGCCTGCAGAGAGCATTATGTTGATTTTTATTTACAGCTGAAAAAGAAGGCTCGTCTTTTTCTGGTGTTCTTCTAAATCTGACCTTCTCCTGCATCTTTCTCTTAAATCTGTCAGCTGCAGCAGAGAATTATGCAACAAGAGTGTTGAAGCTGTGCCAAACATCTCAACTTTGGCTTCAGGAGTAGGTTTCCTCCAATAGGAGAGAACACTCTGATATCTGATATATTTGTTTGATTTACCACCAAAAAATCCAGACAATGGCAGCTTTATTGATAATAGCCAATTCATCTTTCTGTCGATTTAAAAATGATTAATAAGCCGTGATTGCACTGACGTTATTAACTAATCAATTACATCGCTGCTTCCTTCTTCCAGCAGCCTAATTATTTCCACTTTAATAGGTTTTAGATGGTTGTTGCAGGATAAATGGGAAATTCCACTGGAGAGGAATTTGCATACTGGAGTAAGTCGGTGAGCAATTACTGCAAAAGCCAGGCGGACAAGAAAAGAGCTAATCCAGCTGCAGCGTAGCCTTAGACTCTTTCATGTTTGAAAAATAAAACTGACATGGCTTTATTGTTTCCAAACTGGTTTCCAGTGTTAATCCATCCAGTTTAATTAAAAAGAGGACATCTGTGGTATGTTCAGATAGCAGCGAGGCCCACCGAGGGCTCAGTTCAGAACCAGAGCCTCAGAGTGTCCGCTGCCGCTTTCCAGGTGAGTGGTTTCTTAGTGGATGGGAGGGTAAGAGCACATCCTCACCTGTGTATGGGCTGATAACATAACCCGTTTCAGATGCTAACACACAAATTGCTCAACAACCAGCGGAGCTGGAGAACAAGCTTGTGTCACCTAAAGGTGCACTTACTCCAAGATACATGGGACAGAAATACCTGAGTCCTTTAAACAGAATATAATTCATTCAGTTGTTACTTCCTGTTTTGTAATTTCCATTTTATTTGTTGCAGAAGGTTCCTGAATGAATGGCCTCACCATCACCATAAATTTGTTTTAAACATGAATCTGCAAATTGTTGGAATGACTCAGCAAAGGAACAGGAAGTGAAAGGAAATGGTTTATTTTGTCAAACACATTGATGTTCTAGAGCAGGAAGTCCCCTTAACAAGAGTTGGGACACACGGAATGCCTTTCTGAGTATTTCTAATAGGGCTGCACAATATATCGCAAATATATCGTTATATATTTCAGCATGCGCAATATGCATATCGCAAAGAACAGATAAATATCGCAATGAATGGTCAGCTCAAATGTTTGCTACACATAATGCATTCTGTCAATCATACGGAAGAATTATGTTTTTTTAACAAATCAAATAGAGCTCTTCACCCATTTGGCCAATTGGGTGGGTTCTCATAGGTTAGATGCCCGCCCCCGAGGTGGACAGCATTTCATTTTGATGGTTAGCAAACACCTGAGTTAGCTTTGTTCTGCTCTTTCTGCATTTCACGGGATCCACTGATTGCCTTTTCTTGTTAAAGGGACTTTACGGAGTTTTGAATTTTTATGCTCGCGATTGCCCCTCAGGCCAAAAGCGTAACGGCAGCTTCAATAGTAGGCTCGTGCACGAGGCGCGCATGCTGTACGTGCACACTCCTTAACGAAAATAACAGCTGAGACAGTCCCTTATGTGTGTGTGTGTGTGTGTGGGGGGGGGGGGGGGGGGGGGGAGGACAGGAGAACGCTCAGCTAATTAAGTAATTTGGTTCTGTACCTTTCTCTTCAGCACAGCCAACAAAGGTTTATGATGGGTCAGTCCTCCTGCATGCTCAGATCATTCCCTTCCTTTGCTTGAAAAATTGTTCCAAAATGAAAGTTGAACCCACATCTTTTTTATCTGTGAATTCAATGCCGTTCGGCGAGTCTCAAATAAAAATTTGGGTATCTTACTGTAAAAAAATATACCATTAATGTAAAAAAGAAACTCTAAATAAACTACGTTCACACCCAGAATCGAACCCAGGTCTTCCGCATGAGAGTCCAACGTCTTACTAGGTGAGCTAAAGCGCCAGTGACATACACTGTATCTGTAACATTTATATCCTTGATGACAGCTGAAACAACGTTCAAAGAACGGTTCGGAGCGAAAATGGCTATTTTGTTGCTAATTTGCAGGAAATATCTAGAAGAAAGTTCCATAGAAAGTAGCTAAGGGTCCTCAGAAATGTAGCTAGCTTTGTCACTAGGCGTTAGGAACAGCGACAAAGTGGCACTACCTCTCTCTCTGCTGCTAAAGATACGGATAGCAAATGCTACGGGCTATGCCCGAGCGTGAACGTGCATGAAGCAGCCTGCTCGACCCGAGCAGCTCTCTTTTTCTGTGATTTTATAGAAAAACAGGCAATCACAGTAAAAATGTCAGGGCTCATTCTACAGGACCAGGGCATTGCAGGAGAATGTATGAAGAAGAAATGTATTATTTCTATACATGTTTTGGCTGTCAAACTTCCATAATGCCCCTTTAATTTTCTTATTCTCTTTCCTCACATATTTTGCTTTTCTAATTGTAATGATTTTTTGTCATTTTGAAATTTTTGATCATTTTTGTTCCTGAGTTAAGTTTTTATTTATCGCAAGTAATATTGTCATTGCAATGTTAATCACTGTTATCGTATATAGCAGGTTTTCCTAATATCGCGCTGCCCCAATTTCTAACACACGAATGAAGCCGTGAAGGTCGTTGGGACTCACGCAGAGGTGATGGCGCGGTACCGCTCCAGCCCAGCTGTGTCCCAGATCTGGGCCTTGATGGTCAAGCCGTTGAGCTGAACAGTCCGTGTGCTGAACTCCACTCCAATGGTTGTGCGGCTGTCGTGGCTGAACTCATTTTTGGTGAAGCGGGACAGCAGGTTGCTTTTTCCAACCCCAGATTCTCCGATTAGAACGACTGAAACACACACAATAAAGATTCTGAGTTCTTCCTCAATTTTATTGGTTTGGTTATTGCAAAAGTGATCCTTCATAATAAAAGCTTTCAGGTGTGTTCTCTCCACAGTTGCTCCATAAGCTGCCTGTCTGAGACATGGAGAATTACATCACAGGGTTCATTATAATGCATACACTGAAGTAAACACTACGTAACGGTGATGGAGAACGTGTAAGTCGTACATTTTCCAACAGGAAACAAAAACCTGTCACAAGTGATGCTTTGTTTTTGTAAATTCAACAACCTGGATGAGGGCAAGGCGAGTCCAAATCAGGTGGAGCAAGTTAAGCAGCTGTTCCCTTTCATTCTGGGAGGAGAAACCAGTATTACAGTATTACACACACACACACACACACACACCCTGATTCTCTGTGACTAATATTCGGATTTCAGTTCTGAGTGTCTGACTCCGAGAGCAGAGGCTTGGCTACGCCCGTCCAGACAGGAACACAAGACCACCTTAGGACAACAGAAGATCTGAAGTCTGCTCATAAGTGGAACAGATGCAGTTACAGCTTGTTCCTGAAGCTCTGATGAAATAAGCCTTTAATTGTGGAGTTTGGGTGTGAAGGGGATTTAAAAAAGTGTTTGGACATTTGTGAAATCACCATGATAAGCTGGATTTACACAATCAGAAAGAAAAGTAGCCTAAATGATACTTCAGAGCAACGTTTACGGTGTAGGTACCGGATCTGCTCGGGGTCCTGTGCCTGCCGATGACATCACACTAGATGATTGGCTGAACGTAGAACTTATGGAAGTTAAAATGTAAAGGTTACTTTAACACGTTGACACTGAAAGTTTTGATTGGTCCGAACAAACTTGTGGTTGTAGTCCTGTAGTACAAAATCTAAACACTTTTCAGGGAAAAATATGTTTGTATTGCCAAAGGAAACGTAAAATAAAAGCAAAAATATTAGCTAGTAAACAGATACCCCCAGCAGCTCTTGATTTTGATTAAATGGGGCAAAATACAAGAACTTTATTGAACAAATAGCAAGCAACATTTTGAATAACTAACAAAATATACAGAATAATTCCACATTTATACAAATGGAAATGGCTGCTAGTTATGCAAATACATCTAAAAATGTTCATATTTAAGAACGGTTGTGCTTTTTGGCAGTCTAATGTTGGTTTTATGTAGTTTCACATTCTTTACAAAAAAAGACAATATGATGTTTTCCTAACAAATTACAGTTAAAAAGAAAACATTTAGGCGGTAAGACACCCCCTACCAGTCTTACTCCGCTCCCACTTCCTGTTTGAAAAATGCAACAAATGCTGTTCCCTGGCAGACCGAGAGGGTAGAGTCACTAACAAAAACACACACACCGACTCACAATGACATTGTGACATCATGATGTACCAGCTAGCATCATAGTGTACCTCTTAGCCAATAGCAATGGTAGATTTAAATTCAAATGCAGTGTAGAGGTTTTACCTGAAGAGGGCGCACCACTGACAGTTTTAGGCAGAATTTTTACATTTTAACTTACCCCTTCTTTCCACCGGAGCCGTCAGCAGCACGTTACTGCAGCAGCACGTCATTAGCCTGGCAAGCCAGACTAAATAAATGTATTATTTAGTCTGGCCATGCTCCATTGACGGCTCTCGGTTGTGGGGCGGCTTCTACCGTTGTCTTTCAAATGATCTCCGCATTCCACTGGACAATGAATGTGACATACTCTTGTTTCACTCTGTTGCATCATCCCACCCACCAGGCATATAGAGTGCCCTGATTGGCCCACAAAGCGGATAAAGCTCTGTGATTTGTTCACTAAGCAGATAGAGCACTATGATTGGCCCACCATTATGGACCAATCACAGCTCTTTATGTGTTTGAAACCCCTCTAGAGAGCTATGATTGGCTAGCCAGAGTCCTGGTAGGAGCTGCTGAGGTTCCAATGGAGCATGCCTAGACCATTCTTTGCAAAGCAAGAATTTGGTCTAGTTCACTAGGCTAGCACGTCATAGCTGCTGAGAGGAACCGCTGTGGTCAACAGAACCTTTTCCACCAGAGCCGTCAGCAGCGCGAGTCGGCCGCGTCTCAGGAGCAGCATGTCGTGGCCCTTACGCGCCGGTTCTATTTTCTACGCCTCTGAAACGGTTCAAGTTCAACATTTTTGGGGAAGGAAAGACAGGAAATCGGACGCAGAAACGGAGCGAAGCTCCCGAGATTTTCAGAATAGATTAGATTAGATTAGATTAGATATCCTTTATTGTCATTAAATGATTGCACATTCAACGAAATTTCCTAGAGCTCCACATTAGGCATCTGCTAAAAATACTAAGAAAAATAGCTAAAACAAGTACAATATGCACCATGCAATAAAAACAAAAACATTACAAAATACAATAAATAATATCAATAGGGTTGATTTTTCTGTCCATTCAGGGTTCTAATAGCCCAGGGAAAGAAACTCTTCCTCAGTCTGTCGGTCCTGCAGCTGAGGGATCTGAACCTTTTCCCAGAGGGCAGCATGGCAAAAAGGTAGTGGTTTGGGTGGTAAATGTCCCTGGAGATGGTCCTTGCTCTAGTGAGACACCTCTGCAGGGTGATAGTGTCCAAGGAGGGAAGGGTGCATCCAATCACCTTTTCCGTCGCTCTAATGACCCTCTGGTATCTGTTTTTATCAGCTACTGTGCACCCCGCGTACCACACAGGGATAGCGTAAGTCATCACGCTCTCAATGACTGCTCGATAAAAAGACACCAAGAGGTTGGTCTGCAGCCTATTCCACTTCAGGACTCTCAAGAAGTGCAGCTTCTGCCTTCCGGTTGCTTTACTTTAAAAAAAAGTTACTAACTGTGCGGCCCCGTGAGAAGTTATCACCTAGCTAGCGGTCTCCTTTGTTTTTCAGGTCCGTATTGGCGATTATAAAACGGACAGAACATAAAACACAAACCTTTTGGAGCCATGTTGTAGTTTTCTCCTGCTTGTTGTTGTGTTTACTGACGAAGTCACTCGTGTGACTTTGTGCTCTGTCGGTGACAGCTGCTCCCCTGCTGCTTCGCGTCTCGTGGGAAGGGCCAAGCAGCAGCTTACGCGAGCAAGACGTGCTGCTGCAGTAACGTGCTGCTGACGACTTCGGTGGAAAGAAGGGGTAAGATGCACTAAAGTGCAAAATTATTGACTTCACATGTCTGCAGCACGATTTGACACGCATTTATATAGTTCATCAATAAAAAAAGTTGATTTGGGGGTGACTTGCTCTTTAATATTTTTATCCATGTATTTTTGTCATTCTTCACACGAGTAAAACTCTAAAATAAAACATTTAAAGACAAGTCAGGGACAAAATTCTACTGGCCACACAAAATCACACCAATGGCTTCAAATGGCCACACTAAACACCCCAAGACAAGAAACTTTTTAAAAATATATATTAATGTCATTTTTCCAAAAACTGCTGAACACAAATGGTAAATGGCCTGTATTTGATATAGCGCCTTCTAGAGTCCTGGAACCCCCCAAGGCGCTTTACAACACACTCAGTTGCTCAACAAGCTCAAGCTGGCTTTTGCGTGACCTTTGTCATCACATTTTTCCTTATTCTGCTCCTTCTACCTATTCCGCCTTTCCCATGATCCACTGATCTCCCTCTTTTCTATTCATTTTCTCCCCCCTTTTACTTGCCTTTTTTCACCACTTTTTCCCCCTAATTTTAAACATAAATTTTAATCTTTTTTGAAATATTTTTTATATCTTAATTTTTGGTTTTTGTGAAGCACCTCATGATTTTTATCTTGAAAGGTCTTATGTAAAAGATTGTTTTCTTTCTTTCATCACGTGTTGAGTTTAATCACGCATGACCTCCATCCATTTTCAGCTGCTTATCCGAGTCGGGTCGCAGGGGCAGCAGCCTAAGCAGAGAGGTCCAGACTTCCCTCTCCCCAGCTAGTTGAGCCTAGCCTGACCAGCCAGCCCCATGCTTCCTTATGGGAAGCATTGGATCTGGGAACTCTCCTACTGAAATATCCCCAGCCCCTGAGAATTCTAATCGAGCCAAACAGCTCTTCTAGGGGAATCCCAAGGCCTGGCCAGCCGAGAGACATAGTCCCTCCAGTGTGTCCTGGGTCTTCACTTGGGTCTCCTCCTGGTTGGATGTGCCCAAAAACATCACAAGGGAGGCATCCAGGAGGCATCCTAATCAGATGCCTGAGCCACCTCAACTGGCCCCTCTTGATGTGGAGGAGCAGCAGGTCTACTCCATGCCCCTCCGCAATTAGAGGATGTGATTCTCATCCCAGCTGCTTCACACAAGGCTGCGAACTGCTCCAGCGACAACAAAACTTTAATTTATAAAAAGTAAAAATCATTATTTAAATAAAATTGGATTGATTTATTTTAGAAATTTGCTCCTTTTTCCTGCTGATTCCCCTAAAATCCGACTTTTACTAGCTGCATGTTTAACCTGAGCTCTGGGATCATGACAGAATACTTACATGCAGTTTTTCCTTTGCCTTGTTTTGGGTTATTGTTCACTGTAAGACCAGTTCTAACTGAGCTGCTTTCCTCATTTTCTCCTGCTACTGAGTAACTTCTTAAGCAAACAATACTTGTAGTTTCTATGGAAATACAGGACGAGCGGCCCAAACGGCTCCACAGGTCGGGTCGGTTTATCCTGATGAGGGTGCAGCGAGGCTCCATTTGTTTCTGCCTTTGCTTTGATGACCTTCAGAGCTGAAAACACTACTGCTGGAAAACACCTCAAATATTCAACCTCAGGGTCAGGAGGAAAACAATAAATACTACAAATAAAATGTTGCACGTTAATCATGAAAGGACTGATGCTAAAAACAAATAAAAACTTGGTTTTAAATCTTGCAAAGGCTGCATGCTGACAGAGCACCAGAATGTGGAGACTTGCATTGCAGGTGAAGTCTCTGGTATCAGATTAACTGATTAGTTTTACAGAAAGGGAATCTGTGAGACTTAATGAACAAACATGCTACAGTGAAGGAATTTATATTAACCTCACTTAGTTTGTAACGCGAAGACAGGAAGTTTCCCCAATGCCTCTGATTTAGAAAGCATTTAAAGCACAGACGCCTCTGTCGCCAGTTTTCTGCTCGACAGGTAAGCTAAAGTTCAGCATGCTACTTGGAGAAATTCATTTCAAATTACTGCAAGAAGAAATGCTGCAAGGCAGGTAGCTACTTGTAAACAGAGTGTGATTTCTTTCAAAACATGGAGAGGGCGGTTCCTTCCTGAAAATCAGAAACATCCTCCACCATTCCTTTAACCCCATTGAGAATCTTTGGGATGTGCTGGAGAAGGCTTTGTGCAGCGGTCACTCTCCCATCATCAATGTAAGATTTTGGTGAAACATGAATGCAACACTGGATGGAAACAAATCTGGTGACATTGCAGAAGCTTATCGAAACAACGCCACAGCGAGTGTGTGCCGTAATCAAAGCTAAAGGCGGTCCATAGAAAAATTAGCGTGACCTTTTTTTTGTGGTGACTTTTTTATTTGGCTGGGCAGTGCAATGTGCTACTTTATGCCTTTAAAGAAATTGGCTTAAACATTTAGAAATGTTTGTTTTCTGGTGGATTTGGAACAAAACTAAATTAACAAATCAGCTCAGCTCCAAAATCTTGAACTTTGGTCCTGAAATGATATGGAAACGTGGTCCAGGTGTTGCAGAAATGTGGAAAACTGCAGATACTTTGCTTTCGTGTGACTCGGGTTCTAGTTATTTTTCTTTTGGTTAAAGTTTCTAAGAGCCTCTTCAGACAGGGCCTGAAGAACCACACAAGAAGGCTGAAAACAGCTCTGGAATCGTCTCATTTATCAACAAAGGAACAAGTGTAAATATTATTATTATTATTATTATTATTATTAATATGGAGACGAGGAATTTTCGCTGTTGTGTCATAAAAACCAAACAAACACTTTTTTAATTTTGTTTTTCCAATCAAAACTGAGATAAAATATGAGATAAACAAAGTGAGATGCAGAATGCAGATGGCTAATCGTTGACTCTAGAGGAGTTCACAGCCGTCCACTGCCCTGCTGACAGTTTGTGCTGACACATCCTGCTGCTGTGCATTATGGGTAAAGGTTTGTAGTCAAGTCATTTAAACTGGAAATTTGCCCCCGAAGTAGCTGCTAGCTACTGATCCACCATCCTTTTGAAATTATCGCACTGAATTCTGGGAAATTGTTGACCAAGGCTAGGCTACAAGACACCTCCTGTGTATCCTTGGTCAGCTAGCTAAAGAGCTAACAAACGGAGAACAGAAGCCTCGGTAGCACATGAACCGATTGGAACATGCCTTGGCGGTTCCTGATGACGTATCTCCTAGGCAACCGGGGCAGGACCAAGGCATTAAGGCGAGGTTCCTTGACATTGAGAAACACCTTTCAGTGTTCTAGAGGTCTTGTGTTTTATTCCAATTAAACTTTACAAATCTAATTTGTTGGGTTGACTCTAGCTAGGTTTGGAGAGTGAGGAAACCCACCCAATATGGCGGTTACGCTGTTACATTCTCCAGCACCTGATGGGGCAACTACATATTCATGTCTATGTGCTAACTGAGGCCTGCAGCATCAGAGATGGATCTTTTTAACATTCCTTCAAGTGCTGACTTTTGCCCTCATGGTGAACTTGAAGAGATGTCCACTACTGTGTGACAGGTGGAGTCCTAGTAGTTTAGAAAAGACCTTTGAACTTGTCCAGACTGATGGGCAGCAACTGTTGCTTCAGTGATTTCTAATGTCTGTCCTCCTTGTGGTAACACACACACACTTGCATGCTCCGGAGCAGCAAAACGACTGAACTAAAAACTTGGTTTTAAATCTTGCAAAGGCTGCATGCTGACAGAGCACCAGAATGTGGAGACTCACATTCCAGGTGAAGCTGCTGATCAGATGTTAATGAAACATCTGATCAGCAGCTCCAGGCCAAGACCAAACCTCTGAGTTTCCATGGAAGCTGTGAGGGTGGACGCCAATGCTCGCTCACTGTGTGCTGTCATTACCACAGGCTGTGGTCCACAGGTGCTACTTTGTTCATTTTAAGACCAGGTTTCTCTGTTGCTTCTGTTGTTTTTGAATAATTTTAGAGCATATTTTAGTTTCTGTTCCTTAGATTCCAGGAAGCTTGAATTGACATTTTTGTCCATGAAACTTAAGACCTTAATGTCACATGTGAGGAGGCGCCCAGTAACATCTGGATAAAACATCTGCTCTTCTATAACATCACTCCAAAATTTCTTTAATGATATAATTCAAATGCAGAACTTTTGATTTACGTTTAAATCGTTTTTACTTTTTAAGGATCAAAGTTTTGTACATATTTTTAGTTTTAAAGTTACATTTTTTCCAGAAAAATGAAGTTCACTTCACTAAGACATTATTAATACTACTACTACTACTACTACTACTAATAATAATAATAACTGACCTGAATGTTTAAATCTAACTGATCTAACTAAAGGCAGTCGTCTGACAATAATCTGAATGTTCATGCTCTCTCAATGCTTGGCTGTATTTTATTCGTGCTGCTTTGCATTCTGTTGACAGTCAGCAAACTCAGTCCTGGAAACTTGGCGGTTAATAATAAACAAGGAAGTATAATTAGACGTCGATGGAGTTGTTATAATAGGACACCTTCCAGAGTGTCCAGGGATCAATCGAAGTCGGGAAAATATGGACTCACCCTTGAAAACAAAGTTGTAAGCCTCATCTGACCCCATGTTGTGTCCATTCAGTGCTGCCGTCCTTCAGGTCCCACACTCAGTCAGGAGGCAGGATGTAAGAAGACACTGATCCTGAACCAGCCTGGCCTGCAGGTCCTCACACTCTGAAAAGGAAGAGGGTGTTTAGCCACATGGACGCCTGTAAGCAGCTTTCTGCCCTTCACTCTCCTGAGGGAGCAGAGCAGAGAGGTGGTGTGTTTGAACAGGACACGCTGCAGCGTATCCCAATGCTGCTGCAGGGGGCGGGGCATCCATCAGGGAGCGGTGGAGCACAAACAGAGGCGTGGCTTAGCAGGCTGAGTCAGAGCCAGGCAGGTTGGACAGGTGAGGTGAATGGCAGGTACACCTGGGGAGGACAATCAGGCGCCTCCTGGTGGAATAGACCAGACAGGAGCAGGAACTGTCCTCCTACGTCCCCCAAAGATAGCTTCCTCTGTTCAACTTAAACTGGTTTTCATTTCCTTAGAGAGACTAGATTTGGTTTAAAACATTATTCTCTGTTCCATTTAACTTGTTTTTATGTTGATGAAGTCCTGCTAATCTGAAATAACTAGGAGAAATAAAAAGCATTCACACTGAAAAAGGCTCAGGTCTCAGGAGAATGTTTCATTTCTACATGAAATCAGAGTAAAAACAAGTCTCAGTCCTTATTTATAATGAATAAAAAATGTTTCCATTACTTCAGTTGATGATGTATACCGTAAATCCTCTAATACAGGCCCGGGCCTGTATTTGACTCAAGCTCATCAAGCTCCAGGCCTTTATTGGAAGGAGGGCCAGTATTAGAGGCAGGCCTCTATTTCTATTTGAGCAAAATGAACTAATGGTTCGCTGGAGTCTTTGACAATTAAAAGTGCGCCCACATTTTCAAAGTTAAACACATTTCTTTTAACAACGGTAGTTTCTGCTTCAGCCCTCCCCCCTCCCCCTGCGCAGCAGCCGCAAACTCACTGATGCGCCTGCAGCCTCTCGGAGTTCCTGCTGCTCTAAACATTAAAATAATTATTTCATTTTCTGTTCCTCACATCTGATTATCTTCAATGGTGTCTGTTTGTTGCAACCACCAGGTACAAAAACTAACTTGTTTTTATTTGACTATTTTTCTGTCCTGCCTGTTTATTATCTTCCTGCATCTCCTCCCCGACTGGCTATTCTCTGGAACTCCAACCTGCTTGTCTCTCAGCTTCTCCCTGGCCAGAATCACCTCCAGCTGCCCACCTAAGCTCTCTGGATCTCAGCAAACTCAGCTCCCTCCACGTCTCCCCTTCTGGATCTCAGTCTCAGGAATCCCCTCTCAGCCCAGACCGGACCACTCCTCCCTCGAGCTACTTTCCCCCCTCCCCAGACTAAGTCCTCCGCACAATTCAGATTCCTTGGTTTCCCTCTCGAGTTGGATCTAACTCCCATCTGTCCACAGATTTCCCGCACCGGCTCCCTTTATGAAAGAACTCAGCTACGTTCAAGCTGCTTCCTTGGTTTCCCTTTTAATAAATTCTTAAACACTTTCCTCGTCTCAAGCTGATTCTGTATGTCGTGGGTTAGACATCTACACCACAACATGACAGTGGACTTAAAAATACAAGAAGATGAATGTTTTTAACAGTTTCTCTACTTAACAAATATGTACAGTGGGGCAAAAGTATTTAGTCAGCCACCAATTGTGCAAGTTCTCCCACTTAAAATGATGACAGAGGTCAGTAATTTTCATCATAGGTACACTTCAACTGTGAGAGACAGAATGTGGAAAAAAAAATCCATGAATTCACATGGCAGGATTTTTAAAGAATTTATTTGTAAATCAGGGTGGAAAATAAGTATTTGGTCAATAACAAAACTTCAACTCAATACTTTGTAACATAACTTTTGTTGGAAATAACAGAGGTCAAACGATTACTATAGGTCTTTACCAGGTTTGCACACACAGTAGCTGGTATTTTGGCCCATTCCTCCATGCAGATCTTCTCGAGAGCAGTGATGTTTTGGGGCTGTCGCTGAGCAACACGGACTTTCAACTCCCTCTACAGATTTTCTATGGGGTTGAGGTCTGGAGACTGGCTAGGCCACTCCAGGACTTTCAAATGCTTCTTACGGAGCCACTCCTTTGTTGCCCGGGCGGTGTGTTTGGGATCATTGTCGTGTTGGAAGACCCAGCCACGTTTCATCTTCAAAGCTCTCACTGATGGAAGGAGGTTTTGGCTCAGAATCTCACGATACATGGCCCCATTCATTCTGTCCTTAACACGGATCAGTCGTCCTGTCCCCTTAGCAGAAAAACAGCCCCAAAGCATGATGTTCCCACCCCCATGCTTCACAGTAGGTATGGTGTTCTTGGGATGCAACTCAGTATTCTTCTTCCTCCAAACACGATGAGTTGAGTTTATACCAAAAAGTTCTACTTTGGTTTCATCTGACCACATGACATTCTCCCAATCCTCTGCTGTATCATCCATGTGCTCTCTGGCAAACTTCAGACGGGCCTGGACATGCACTGGCTTCCGCAGCGGAACACGTCTGGCACTGCCGGATTTGATTCCCTGCCGTTGTAGTGTGTTACTCATGGTGACCTTTGTTACTGTGGTCCCAGCTCTCTGCAGGTCATTCACCAGGTCCCCCCGTGTGGTTCTGGGATTCTTGCTCACCGTTCTCATGATCATTTTGACCCCGCAGGATGAGATCTTGCGTGGAGCCCCAGATCGAGGGAGATTATCAGTGGTCTTGTATGTCTTCCATTTTCTGATAATTGCTCCCACAGTTGATTTTTTCACACCAAGCTGCTTGCCTATTGTAGATTCACTCTTCCCAGTCTGGTGCAGGTCTACAATTCTTTTCCTGGTGTCCTTCGAAAGCTCTTTGGTCTTGGCCATAGTGGAGTTTGGAGTCTGACTGTTTGAGGCTGTGGACAGGTTTCTTTTATACAGATAATGAGTTCAAACAGGTGCCATTAATACAGGTAATGAGTGGAGGACAGAAAAGCTTCTCAAAGAAGACGTTACAGGTCTGTGAGAGCCAGAGATTTTCCTTGTTTGAAGTGACCAAATACTTATTTTCCACCCTGATTCACAAATAAATTCTTTAAAAATCCTGCCATGTGAATTCATGGATTTTTTTTCACATTCTGTCTCTCACAGTTGAAGTGTACCTATGATGTTAATTACTGACCTCTGTCATCATTTTAAGTGGGAGAACTTGCACAAACGGTGGCTGACTAAATACTTTTTTGCCCCACTGTATGTTTATGTTTATTTATTTGACAGACGCTTTTATTCAAAGCGACTTACAAGTTATAACCTGTAGGGCATGTTGTGATCTGTGGGGGAAACCGGAGAGCCCGGAGGAAACCCACGCATGCATGGGGATAACACGCAACTCCACGCAGAAAGCAGGGTTCCCACTCTTTTCTTGAAATTATTTTCCAGGACTTTAAGACTTTTTCAGTGTACAAGTCAAGTTATCATAACTACGGTTTGCCGATATGATCTCATATATATATATATATATATATATATATATATATATATATATATATATATATATATAAACTATATATATATGATCATATCAGGATATATTTAGAAACAGATATGATATTGCACCTACCTATACCGTTATTTTGACAATATAGTTGTGGAAAAATTTTTGTCTTTCACAATCTCACCTGCTTTCCTCTACTTACTATGCAACACAACTAAAACAGAAGTTATTCTCTACTTTAGTTCATACCAGAGGTGTGACATTGTGGCATCATCAAGTCATCTCCATGTCATGTTTTTGTTCTGCTCAGTAACTGAACCAGGTTAATTCACTGTGCTCATTGAAATCCCCTGGTTTAATTGCTGAGCAGAACAAAGACATGACAGATTTTTTTAAGTTTATTTTCATTTATTCACAATTACAAACAAAACTTGGGTTTGCGAAAACAAAAAATGAAAAAGATGACTTGATGATGCCACAATATCGCTCCTCTGGTCCACACATTGCTATTTTACGAGCTGATATCACTTTAAAAGTCCAAACTGTATTCGCAATCCGTTACTAACGTTGGAAGATATTAACTATTATCAAACTTTTAAATTAATTGCATCTGCTCACACCAAGGCAAATTACGCATCTGGTATACACAATGGCATAAATTGATGAGTTGTGTCTTTTTGACTTAATTATTTTGATTGACCAAATCTGTGATTTTTTTGTCAGTTATATTGATGAAATGGATTTACATTTTGTAAAGCTAAATGTGTTTAAATGTAAAATCCATTTAGCCTCCTGGATAATATGAAGTAAAATATTATGATAAATTAGAAATTAAATTTTGGTATATATCATGTATCCCAAGATTTGGAGAACTGTATTTTCTGAAATTGTATTGTACGGTACTGTCATGGTCTGGGGAAGGCGCTTAACCCAGGACATGCAGAATCACAACACAACTCACGGGTTTTAAACAAAATGATAAAAGGTATTTTACAGAACGAGAACATAAGGCGCACTGAAAATTCCAGCGGAGGACGGGAGTACGGAGCGCAGCGTCTGAGGAGGGGGAGAGGAGATAAAGGTGAGTCCTGAGAGGTAAGTCTTAACTGGGAAGGTGCAGAGAAAAGACTTACAGGGATTTAGGTGGGTGGAGGTATGGGGAAGGGCAGATCTAGAGTCGGGGTGTGTCCAGGTGAGTATTTCCAGGAGAGGGAGCGTGTGGAGAGCAGGTGAGCGGAGCTGATGGAGGAGAACACCAGAGCGCTGAGTCCGGAAGGTTTTTGTAGAAGGTGAGTATCCAGGTGAGTAACAGAATCCAGAGAAGCTTCTGCACCAGTGAAGACCCAAAATCCTGAGGCAGGTGTGAACACAACAAAATTACAAAAATAGATAATCACAAGAGTCATAAGAAAAACACTAAGTCACTGGAAGGCTGGAAAACTACCGAGTTGAAGTAATCATCCCGCGTCGAGGTGTGTTCCCCCACTCCTTAAGTAGCTGGTACCGCTGATTGTTAATCTGCCACAGCTGGAAGCCTCCCTCTCCTGAAACACAACTCAAAGCTGGAATGTTTGACAGGTGTACTCACCCTGACTCATGACAGGTACCTTATATCTTGTATTTGACAGTAATGCTCAAATGTTTATTTTTCTCCCTCTTGCTTTCTTCAAAAAGTATTTTATGTTCAATAAATCACCAAAACAAATTCCTTCAGTTTAACTTTTTACTGTTTACTTACAGCTGACTTAGTGCATCTGACACCTGCATTCTAGAAGTAAAAATGAAAATCACTGCAAAAGTAAATCAAAAATATAAATGTCAAACTCAAACCCTATCCTGCAGTGCAAAAAAGTCAATATAAAACAAAGCAATGTCATTTCAATTAAAATGTTTCTCTAAAATAAATCTCAGTTATTGTAGCTTCTTGGCGCTCTTCTGCAGGTCTTCCAGGTTTTGGCTAGGGCTTGTAGCTCTTCCTTTTTCTCAGCCACACTTTTGTGATAAGCATTGGATTTGGACAGTTATGTGAAGTCCTGGTTTTTTTCTGCTTTCATTGCCATTTCGTCTGCCTCTTTCTGCATCATCTCACTGCTTATCATTATTCTTTTCTGTTTTGCTTTGACATTTTCTATGTCTTGGTGGAGCTCCTTTCTTTTCCTCTCATTTGCAGTTTGTTCTTTATTCTTTTTTCATCCTCGAGGTATTGCATGTACCTCATTCTTGCTCCTTTGCAGTGTTGGATTAGGTATTTTGGCAGGGCTTCATTAAAGAGCAAGTAATGTCTTAATTAACTTTTTTTGGCTGATAAACTGTATAAATGAGTGTCTAATAGTATTCATTATTTTAACATTTTGGTGCATTTTCTTTAAAAATTAAAAATTCTGCCTAAATACCACAGTATAGCACCACCACCTTCAGCTTAAAACAGTTTGAGTCATTTTGAATAAATTTTAGCCAATGGCTAAAGAGAAAGATACTACGTAAACCAGTAGAGTACTATAGCAGCTCTGTGTCAAAGTTATAAAAGCATTGAGAGTGTCGGCCACGCCTTGTGGCGAGCTGGGAGTTGGATTTGCAAGCGAGTGTAGGACGGTTAGCGGTAGTTCAGCATTAGCATATAGCATTAGCATATCCTAATCTTTAGCATAGCTTTTAGTGTTATACATACTTATTTAGTGTTAGCTTGGCTGTTGGATATTGTAGTTTAGTTAGTGTTTGGCTGTTAGTGTGATTAGGAAAGTAGTTCGGGTTTAGAGTTCCATATTGTGTTAGTATGGTGAGAAGGTGTAGTGTAGTGTGGTTGCGGTCTGTGGGGTTGCACTCCTTTCCACTGGACTTAGAAAATTAGGCGCCAGTGGTTGCGCGCAATCGGTGTCTGGAAAACAGTCAGCTCCCGCCTGGTGCTGTAGTTTGCAACCAGCATTTTACCCGCGATTCCTTCGCCAACATGATGGAATTTCAACTGGGTTATTCTGCACGTCTCCGTTTGAAGAGAGAGGCTGTGCCCACTGTGGCTCTTCCGCGATTTAGATGCAGCCCACCAACTCTGCTCCCCCACCATGGCGGGCTCCAGTCTGAGGTGAGTAAGCTAAATAAAAGTTTTAACATCTTCTAAAGGCAATTCCCTACCTAAATGCAAAGTTTGAGAGACGTGGTTCACTTCTGCACTGCCTTTGGGCTAATTTATCAAGTTCACAAAATGTGGAACGGGATGTAAGGTTGGAATCAGCGGCGAATCGGAACATATCTCAAAGCCCTGGCTGACGAAACGGTCCACATGACCATTACTGTCAGGCTCTGAGAAAATTCGGGTTGTTTTTGTGTCAGTTGGTAATTCTGCTAACAGTTGCTCTAACTAACACAGCACTAGTTGACATCCAGCTTTACACCAAGCGTGACCCGGTTCTGTAAGGAATTCTGTTCAGGAGGTCGCATTTCAGGCTCTCTTCACATCATATGTGACTGACTTTTACATTATAATAACTATCACACACTAGGAATGTTATAAAGCGCCTATATAGGACAGTTTCTTTTGTATATTATCTGACTTTATAAACTCCAACAACAATGTGCTTCTATTTTTTTTCAGGCTAAATCTACCCAAGACACTGGCTGTCAGACTGATTTAGCTGCAAGAATGCACTTGTCCAGGCTGACGTGAAGCCTTACCGGCGTAGCAAAGGTAAATTATTTTTAATAATCGTCTATGTAAACATTTTATTATTACCTTCTAGTTTTAATTTGTTTTACAGATTATTGTTACACGTGATTTTATGCGCTTTTAAACATTTATAAATGTGCTGCTTCTTTGTTTTTACATAGCCACCCAGTTTAGAGCTCCCAGCCAGTGTGTCTTGTGACACAGGGACCATGACGGAAATTCATCTTCCAGAAAGTCCCAGAGCACCGTCCACACCCCTGAAAAGACCAAGATGTGAGGTGTCTGCTGTTGATTCCAGCTTCCACCTCAGTGACAGTGCAAGCTCAGTGAACTGTTCAAGGTAAAAAATAAAAACATTTCAGAATTTTTAAGATATTAACAATTAAATAAACGTATGTGATTGCATCATGACATCATGAAGGAGGCTACTGATTCTGGCCCTGTGACACTTGGTGGTGACGTGTGAGCCGATTCACCTGGTAAATAACTTTTACATTAAATATTTTGTTCTTTGCTATCAAAAGTAAATTAACTAATAACCTGCATTATTGCAGGACACTCAGCAAAATATGGACTCTACACCATGAGGCAGGCACACGTTAATACTCTATAAGAGCACATAAGGTGAGCAACACCACATATTATTGTTATTATTGTACACTGTCCCGGATTTGTTTTCTTTCTGCATGATTTGTTTTCTTTCTGCATCTCATCATTAGCCTGGCTGATCACCTGATAACTCCTGTCATCTGGTTATGACAGCATGAGGATGTCCTCACACACCTGTAACCTATCAGCTCATCTGGCAGAATAGAGAGAGAAGAGACAACACCACATCTCCTGTTCCTGGAAAGCCTTCAGCCATCCTTCAATGACTGAGAACCTCCATCAGCTCTGTCTCCTGTCTGCCTACAATTATTATAATAAATATTGTGTTTGACAAGTTTTTTTGTGCTGCCAAATGTCTCATTTTGATTCCAGTTTTTATATTTTAATGGATATTTATAAATTACATTAATTGAATTATCACACTGTTGCATGTTTAACTAGCTCTACTGTGATGAATTAAACTAGCACCTCAATGTTTAAAGCTCGTTTTAATTTCAAGCATGTTTAAGTATTTATGGACATGAACAAAAACAGGAAATATATAAATTGAGATGTATTTAATTAATATAACAAATAACTGTTTAGAGGAGGAAAGAATCAAAGGCACATTCTTCTGGAAGCTCCTGATCCTGACGACACTAGCAGAGGAGACCACCTGCAGACACCTACGACCAAGAGAGCAGCTGGTATCAGTAAATAAATAATGAAATCAGGGCAGTTTTAGTGGGCTGTTTGGGATTGTGTAACATAAATGAACACATTATAGAATAATTTTCTCATGGGGTATTTTCATAACTCTGCAGCTGACTGTAACTTGAGCTCCTGGAGAGCTGCTATCCAGCACGTTTCAGTGGTTTTCCTGCTTTAACAGGTTAGATTAGCTGTTAGGCAGCTCAGCTATTTGTTGCTAATTAAAACCAGGTGTGTTGAAGCAGATAAATCTCTAAAACATGCTGAATACTAGTTCTCTAGGGCAGTGGAGCCAAACCCTGCAGCTAATCTAATGCTATGGCTAACGGCTACTTACCATTCAGAGCTGGTTCTGTTGGGTCGGTTTCGGTAGTTTCAGGCAACTCACCAGCTCAAAAAATAAGGCTCAGGTCTGCTTGTCTCCTCCAAATAGACTTGGTTCCTTTCTTCTCGAGTGTCTGGGTAAGGAGGGGGAGAAACGTCCTCCATTTCTAATGACTGCTCAGAGTGAAGGGAGCTAGCATCGTCTCGTTACCCATCGTCTTCGTCACTGCCGTGGCTCCACCCTCTCGGTCCGCCAGGCAACGCCTACTAATGTTGCAGTTTTTAAAATTGATACGTGGGTGGAGAAGGACTCTGAGGCACACTTGACCTGTTCTTTAACTGCACGCTCAGCCATTGCATCCTGGACCAGCCGCAATGCTATCAGACTCCTCTCTTTCAAGTTTTCCACTAGCAGGTCCTTGTTCACAGAGTATCCTCGCTCCACTGCTGCTTGTCCATGAGACAGCGTTGGGAGACATTTCATCATGTCCCACAGTGCTGCATACTCTGCTCTACCACAGATAAATCTCCCAAAAAATTCCTCAAGCCTGCATCTGTATGAAAAATCTTGGAATTCTGCCTTCAAGTTTACACTTGCATGCATTGAGAAAGTTTTATACTGAGCAAGGATTTTGTCGCACTTTGAGGTGATGCACCATCCTGCATTGAGGAGAACCTGTAGGAGTTTCTCAAACATTGCTATTGCATGCTCAGTCTCTGTTACCATGATCACAGGGTCAAGGGAGCTCATGTGCCGCACTGCTGGGTACACAAGTGGACTTCACTCCATAATCTTTTTGCAGATCACAGCAAGGAAAGTGACACATTTGTTCATGAACACCTGTATGTTCATGGGATTTTCCTGGAGCTTTTCAGATGCTTTCTGTAAAGCTTGTTTTGTGGCAAATCCAGTGTACAGTTGTTTTGAGTGGCACATGGATTGATTTGTTTTGCACATCAAGTTTCAGCAGCTGGACAGGTGTTTTCATCTTCTCCAATTCTTCTCTTTTAATAAAGCATGACAGCAAGCATCTCAGGATAGACTCAAGCTGTTTTGCAAGGAATGGCACCATTGGTGCATCTGTCTGGAATTTCTCCCAAAAAAAGCTTCAGCTGTCTAGCAACAAATGCAAAAAGCTGAAGCTTTGCCTGAAAGAGAGTATTGGCTGTGGCCCCTTTTACTGTACAGTAGGAAGCAGATGATGGTACTTTGCTTTTTGGGAGTTTATGGTGGCTGCTGATGTACTGTTGCACAGCTGGCCACACTTCCATTGCCCGCTCTGCAACTGCCAAGTCTTCAACCCATCGATGGGCACAGAACTTCAGAGGAAATGTTGTTTTGGTCACCTCAATGAAGTCAGCACGTCTTGCTGGTGAGTCATGGAACATCAAGTGCTCTAAGCACATGTCCCACCTTCCAACCGGTTTCTCTTTCTCCATCCTGAAAACTTCCATGTAGAACATGCAATCCACAGCTTTGTCATGACTCCCAATCTTTCAGCCTTCATGCAGCACACCTGGTCCCCTCATCAAGCTCCAGCCAAGCCCTGTTTCCCTAGCAACCTCAGTCTGCACCTCATCAACTTCATTCATCTCACCTGTTCCTGTCATCAGCCTCATTCACCACACCTGTTCCCCCTGCTATATCTTTCTTTTCTTTCTTTCGGTCTTTATTTTGGTTTATAGCATTAACATAACATTTTTCTTTTCAAACAAAACAACAATATTAACAACTTGAATTTAAACCAAAAAAGGAATAGGCAGAAGCAATGCTTATTTTAGCCTACCCTATTTTCTACCTAAGATACATAACCAATATTAATTTTGTTTATTTTCCCCAATATAAATAACCACAAAGAAAATTCATTAATGTCTATACATACTTTTCATACCCTGTAAATATGTGACACTTTACATCTGCTTTAAACTTTAGTAAAGAAGTACATTTCTTCAAATCATCATCTAACTCATTCCACAATTTCACACCAACAACGGAAACACATCTTGATTTCACATTAGTTCTGGCTTTTACACATTCAAACATAAATACACCTCTGAGATTATAATGATCATCTCTTGGTTTGAAATAAACTTTTATGCAATTTGGGATTTTATTGTTAACTACTTTATGAAGAATCTCTAAGTTTTTTTACTTTAATAATATCTCCTAATTTTAGCGTTTTAGTTTGACTAAATAGATTATGGGTTGGTTCGAGGTATCCCAATTTATTAACTATTCTAATCGCCTTTTCTTGTAATTTAAATACAGTCTCAACACACGTTTTACCTGCATTTCCCCAAACCTCTACACCGTTTGATATATTCAATATGTGGTTTCCAACTGAGTTTACTATCAATAATCACACCGAGGAATTTAGTTTCATATACTTGTTCAATTGGGACTCCATTTAAATACAGCTTAGCACCGTCATTGTCCCTGTTCCCTGAAAATATCATAAATTTGGTTTTATTTTCATTTAGTGATAGCTTGTTGTAATCAAACCATTTTTTAATTGAACCCAAATCGTTTTCAACCTCTTGTAATAATTTACTCATATCTTTTCCCATACAAATGAAATTTGTATCATCTGCAAACATAATAAATTTTAACTGAGACGATACAGAAAAGATGTCGTTCAGGTATAGGTTGAATAATTTCGGTCCTAGCACCGAGCCTTGCGGTACACCACATATTACTCTTTCAAGCTGTGAATCTATATCATTAACATTTACATATTGAAATCTACTGCTTAAATAACTTTCAAGCCATTGATTGGTTTTACCATGAAGACCATAGTATTCACATTTCTTGAGCAGGTATGTGTGATCAATTGTATCAAACGCCTTACTCAAGTCAATTAAGACAGCCACTACATTAAGTTTTTGATCCACTGCTGTTGCAATCTGCTCTACCAAATCCATAACTGCTAATGAGGTTGAACGATTCTTCCTAAACCCATACTGATGGTCGTTTAAAAGATCAAACTTGTTGGTAAATGCTTCAAATCTAATTACAAAAAGTTTCTCAAGTATCTTTGAAAACTGTGGCAGTAAAGAGATAGGTCTATAGTTACAAGCTAATAATTTATCACCATGTTTATAAATAGGAATAACTCTGGCTATTTTCATTTGTTCAGGGACTGTGCCACTTGAAAAGGATTTATTACAAATATAAGTAAAAGGTTCAGTAATGCAATGGATAACCTCCTTGATGAGAGACATATCTATCCCATGAAAATCGAAGGACGTTTTACTTTTGAAACTATATACCGCTTGGATCACATCACTTTGGCTTACACTGCTCAAAAACATTGTATTGTTTTTATTTATTTCATGGTTAATGTCAACTTCTGGCAGCTTTTTAGCTAGATTAGGGCCAACATTCACAAAATATTTATTAAACTCATTTGCAATGTTCTTTCCATTTTTATTGTGAATTTCTATACCTGCTTCTTTTGTATTTCTTATTAATTTATTTAACACATTCCATGTACCCTTAATATTATTTTTGTGTTTTAGGAAAAGCTCATCATAATATTCCTTTTTTTGCTTCCTTATTTTTGTAGTTAATTTGTTTTTATATTCCTTATACCTTTTTTCTTTTTCCTTTGTTGGATTTTTTATAAAATCCAGATACAGTGATTTATTTTTCTGGCAAGCCCTTTCCAATCCCCTAACAATCCAGGGTGGGGACCTTTTTTTAAGTTTTGCTTATGATATTTTAGAGGACAATGTTTATCATAAGCTCCCAAAAATATTTCTAGAAATGCATTATAAGAATTATTAACATCATCAACATAAACATCAGTCCAATCAGAGCAAAACAGTTCATATTTCAGAGCTTCAATTTCAACAGGAGTTTTTTTTTCTAGTTGTGGTATAATTTACATTTTCCAGGGATGTTTCATCACTTCTCATCATTTCCACCACAGTAAACACCGGAAAATGATCAGTAATATCAGTTTAAAAAGGCCATTCTTTGTCTTGATGTCAGATTGATTTATGAATATATTGTCAATCAGTGTAACACAATCGGCTGTTATCCTGCTTGGTCTCAATATCAACGGAAAGAAACCTAAACTAAAGATTAAATTGATAAATTCAGCTATTTTAGTATTATCATCTGATTTAAACATATCAATATTAAAATCACAAATTAAAGTAATTTTGTTCCTACATTGCCCAAATAATGTTTCAATACATTCATTAAACTGATCCATAGAAGAACCAGGACTACGATACATACAACTTATAATGATGTTTCTGGATTTTTTACACTTAATTTCAATTG